GTCTACATCACCCCATATGTCTGAAATCTACAGTAAACGACTTTGTGAACTGTTTTTTTTTTGGGGGGGGGCGGAAGACATGGTAATAAACAAGGTAATTTGTTATAACTCAAAAGTATTCAAGATTTTCAATAATGATAGTGAGTGTTTATCATAGTTCACAAGAAGTGGAATGAAGATGATCATCAAGTTTGAAGATCAGGTGACATAGGAATCCAATGATCATTACCATGAAGGAGAATGAAATTAAGCATGTCTCGTTTTCTCGCAAATATGCAAATTATGTACTTGAATAACTAAACTACTATAAATAAGGCAAATAAGTACTACACTGTTTTTCACTGTGTAAATGACTCTGTACGATAGGTTGCTAAGATCATATAGTCACTGTCGATGAGATATCCAATTATTTCATTGCATTTCTTATGGATCCGATACCATTTCTTCGCAACCATACAAAACAGTGTTCTGAAATCTTTTTGGACATAAGTCGTATCCTTAGGAACAGGTAAACCGGTAAAAGCATATAAAAGTGGTCAGATACGAGACCTTATCCTTCAGGTATTTAGAAAATAGTAGGTAAACTGGGTAACACTACTCTCCATGTTGCTGTGATGTATATGCTTCATAGGAAAATTGAAATAGTTCTTTGTGGAATATTTACAGCTTGGTCATCTTTGAATACTACGTTAAAATGAAAAATATTTTTCAGGAGAGAAGTGATGTGATGCTTTTCTGCGGTTCTGTTTCTACTGATAAGACGACATGAATATCTATTTTTGACCAGAGTTTTTCTCAGCAGGTTTATTTATGCTTCTAGAGCATCAGGGCTGTAGATATATTGAATATGTGTAATAAGAGTTAAAGCTCAGTTTTGTTTCCGACCAACGGATACCCGTATATTGAAGCTTATCAGCTGACCATTAAATTTGTGGTTATTCTTAATTCACCTTATTAATGTTCCTTTACTCTTCTCTGTTTCATAATGTCCTGTTTATGTTAAATCAACCCAAATACTTCCACTTTATCATCTCATTTCTACGCCCGTTTTTTTTTCAACGGGACCACCAACGCAGAAACGTCCTATGAATACCTACCGATGGACGAGTATAACATACCGCAGTTCACTCTGTCCTACAATATGGCTGTGACTGACTGGCTGAAACATGACCAGAAAACATGAAGCAGTCACAGGTTTCTTTGTAGCATTGGTTGTATTCTGTGGAGTCACCGTTTGAGTAATATTGAGGTCAGGTGAAGAGTAGTAGGCAAAAAAGGCAAATCAATTGATGATGCTATGAACCGTCATGGACATATAGTGTGCATTCCAAGACTTGCCGAACTCAATATGCCATTGGAGGGGAAGTACTACTAAGTTGGAAGAGAATTCACGGTGGCCAGATTAATATATGGGACTAGTCCACTAAGTCTCTTACTTCTGGTCTGAATTGTGTTGGTTGGTGTAGGCTACCTGTCTGGCGTCTCGGAGATCATAAGAATCAGTGGTTGGTAGGTCAAAAATCAGTCGCAATGGAGCAGACGTATTCACTCCTTTTATTTCAATCTTTTTCTATCCATTTGTTGTTTGTATACTAGTATAAATTGTGTCAAGTTGAGCCAATGCATTTGTTTACGATGTTCTACTTTGATTTTGTCTATCTGTTAGAAACGTTGGGTTTGAGTCCTGTTGTAATACAGTTTTTCAAAGAAAATTTCATCACAATGAAAGTAATGAAAATGTTTTGAAATTATATATTCTCATTTTTCATGAAATACTGCATAGAGATAGTTGTATTCTCAATTTTCTGTCTAATCACTTTCAATGTTTCTACCTTGAATACATTGATTCCTAGCTTGTGCAATTGTAATATGATTGTCGATTTAAGTTGAATCGACTAATAATAATTTTTTTTTCTACCTTAAAATTGTTGTAGGCTGTGTAAGTAGGTTGATGATGAGAATTTTCTGAAATGTAAATGAATTCTAATTTTTTTTTTTTAATTCCGCTAAAATTACTTTTCTATCTTGCACGTGAGTAAATTCAAAGAGCCTTTTAACTGAACTTCTGCAGTTGACAATATTAATGATGCCAACATACATATTATAAGACAAAACCGCGTTTCTTCGCATCTTTATTTATGTCTGACATAGTTTTTTTTTGAAATTATTTTACAAACTATCCTTTAGCTGTTTAATGTTGTTTTATTGTGTTTCCGTGTTAAGTGAGGACGGTAGTGTTGTCATTTTCGAAGGTATTGTTGTACTGTATCTCTTTGTGCATGCATCTGTGGATGAGAAAGAGAAGGAGAGATAAAAAAAATCGTCGCTACTCAATCTACTACAAGATTATATACTAGCGATGACTGGGTTTCCGGCCCGATGCTCTACCAACTGAGCTACGAGGTCACCGATTGCCTCGTCACACAATGTTGGCTGAGGTGGGTCCAGGCTGGAAAAAGGCCCGAGGTGGCCAGACTAAAACATGGCACCAATGTATGAAGTCTGTGACTGTTGGTTTGAGCCATTTAGGACGATGCAGACTAGGTGGTTGGGGTCCACGGGACAAGAGGAACCAGTGGTTGGAGACCCTAGGTGATATGGCTGAGAACCGAAGTCAGTGGCGCAGATGTATACACACATTATCCTCATGTTAACGACGCTATACCGAATCTCACCATTTTGTCACTCCTCTTTCTTTTCTTTTCGTACTTTATATTTCTTTTGACTGCATTCACTTATCTTCATCCTTCACCTCACTACCTTTTTACTTGATGTGCTAATATGAGGTGTGGCAAGTTGGACCGTTACTCAGTAATGCCTGGTCCTATGTTGATAATGATGATGATTATGTACTAAGCTACGAGTATACTGCGCTGCAGTTCCTTCTGTTTTATAATAACGGCTGTGAGACATAGCCGTTAAAAGTAGAAGAAATGAAGCAGTTGCAGGTTTTCGATCATAGGTGTCTTTGTAGCATTGCCCACGTTTAGTAGAAGCACCATATGATAAATGTTAAGGCCAGACGAATGGTAGTAGGCAAAAAGGGTAAATCGATTGATAATACTGTGAACCTTCATCAACTGAGATGGTTTGGACATGAACTGCGCATACCGAACCACCACGTACTTTGACGTTTAATTTTAGCAGTAGTTAATTTAGGTTGGAAAAGGCTTCAGAGTGGCCAGACCAAGATGTGACACTAGTCCATGAAGTCTCTGATTCTTAGTTTGAGTTGTGTGAAGAGATGTTGATTGCCTGGTTGAATTTCTTCGAGGTGATTAGAATCAGTGTTTGAAGAGTCCTGGTGACATGGCCAAAAATCAGTTACAGTAGCGCCGATATACTCACTCCTTGACATCTAAAGTTTGAATATTCATACTGATCTTTATCCTCAGGTTGTTTCTTCTCTCACACAACTTCTTCTACGCTGATATCACACGTTTGTTGTTTGTATACTACTAGGAATTGTGGCAAGTTGGGCTGATGCACTTGTGTGCGATGTTCTATGTAGATTTTGTCTGCCTGTGAACCTATTTCGTTGAAAGTTTTATACTTTGATACAGTGAACGACATCTACATATTGGAAGACAGTGAAAGTAATTGTCTGCTTGCTTTTTTTCTTACCTCAGTCTTCTTTTAATTCACACTTTTCTTGTGTCTAACTAGATAGTATAAAATCGAATTCTGTTTTTTCATGTTTTTCTCTTTGTATTCCTAATATTTGAAGCTCAGTCAGTGTACTTTGAAACATATCGTATTAAATATGAAACTTTTCCCCTACAGTTATCGTTGTGATTGTTGTCCCTCTTTTTTTAGTGTCTTTTTTCGTTCTAAAGTCCTTTGAACAGTAGTGTGATGTGTTCAGCTTGGGTACCACTGTATTTCCTCTCAGTTGCGTGATAAGTATCATTTCAAATTACAGATCCAGCTTACAGTGAGTCTCTGGTTTCTTGGTTTAGGTTGTCGTCTCTTGACCAACGGATTATGAGTTCAAACCACCATTCCTTTTGTTTTGCCTAAACAAGTGAGCAGTTCAATAGGTCTTCCCATCCTAAGTATTATTTATAACCTGATATGTAAGCCCACGCCAACCGGGTTACTGAGTTGTACTGTTATTAATATAGATTTATTTACAGTATTACTAGAACATCTCATCAGTGATAAAGTGCAATGTCATTTTTGTGAACCACATTTTAAAAACAAAATTGAAAAACTTCATACACATACTTTCCTCCGTCAAGTTGAAAAGGGCTTCCGAAGTTTGACGGGAAATGTCAGGAGATAATGCATATTCACTATAGCTGTCTTCAAAGTATTTTAATGTGTGCAATGAGACTGCTAAGTCGTTGTTTCCGAAGTCAAGAAGGCAAAGTGATGCATTCAGTCAAGTTATGAATCCACTTCAACTGAGGCTGTAAGACCACTGTTTTAGAATTCCCACTTATTGTATGCCCTCAATGTATGGCGTTCAGAGTACTCGAAGTCGAAAACATTGAAGTGCGCTCAGTAGGCAGTGAGCCACACGTATTTTGATGTCTGATGATATTACCTGGCTGCTCAGACTTTGGAAGGTGGAGTGGGGCCCAACGTATTACTCAGTGGTTATAAGTTAACTAACTAGACCAATAATACATAGGTCATTGGGTTTCCGAGTAAAAACATTTCCCTATTTACTGAAACCAATAGACCTTCGTTCGAATTCTGTGAGTAAGTGTAAGCTATGCATGTTGAGTATTAATACTTTGAGATTCTCGGTTATATAGCAAAACGTTACTAATCCTGTCAACTAATACAAAAACGTGGTTGACTGTACTCTGATTAGCTCAGGCAAAACATTTTCATTGACAGTGACTTTTGAGTTTGTACAACTCACTATCAACTGATGTTTTCGTAGCTAGATAAAAATCATCACCCTTCACGTTTCAGGTATAGCATGTAGCCTAAAGCCGTGATCTACGTATAGTTGCTGAATCTCATATACATCTTGTTTCTTATTTTAGAGCTTTTTTTCAACGGTATGAAAATTATCTGAAGGCTTCTTCTATTGATGACAGTTATGATAGTCAAACTTCGACAATGATGAATTTATTTCCAGAAGCAGATAATCCTTGTGATAAGAATCAAACTGAAAATACACGCAAAAAATTAGCTTCATTACTTTTAGTTGAAGCAGGTGGTGGAAGTGAGAAGTTAATTGCTCCAGTTTTAAGAACAAAAGAAATGTGGCATCGTAAGTGCAAGAGTAGTATTGTTAGTATTATTATTATTATTAATATTCTTGGTAGCACATTTTTGTATGTGTCCCTGTTGTTACATAAAGTATAAATTACTATATTCAAACACAAGTTCCCTGGAGTGATGAGGTTAGTGTACTGAGACAAACGACAGGTTATCACTTCAAGTATTCAGCCTACTCTATTCAAGTGGATCACAATGAGTAGATGGAAATCAAGTTTATGCATATTGATCGCTTAGCTAGGATGTAAATAAATACATTATCAAGGCACCTACTTCATAAATTACTCGTAAGTTTTGTCCGTATACACTGGCTGGTCACTTTACCATATATCATGTTGCTTGTATAATCCCGTCATCGATTGGACCGAATTGATCGGTCTCTTATTAGCATATGGGCTCCTTAACGGATGCCTTGATATTGCTTGTATTTTCGATTTTGATATTAATGATGGATAGTGGTTAGCAGTAGAATCTAGGACGCGCGTTTCGTCCTATTTGGGACTCGTCAGCTGGATGTACCTGCCTTGTTACAGCTAAGCCTTGAGTCCGGAACCGGTTGCTTCAAATGCTAGAGCGTTACCGACTTCTTATGCAACGGGTATAGTTTGCATGATGTAGCTTGTATTATCAAATCGGTCCAATCAACGACGGGATCATACAAGCAACATCATATAAACTACACCCGTTACACAAGAAGTGGCTATCGTGATTCAGTGGCCTGGTGGATAACACCCTGGTGTTTGAAACGATCGGTTCCAGGTTTGAGCCTTAATGCGAACAACATAGCTCACTAAGAAGAAGGCGCATCCAGCTGATGAATCTCAAATGGGACGAAATGCGTTTTCTGGATTCCACTGCTAGACACTGTCCATCATCAATTTACTACATAGCTAGAAAGATTTTAGACCACTTACAGATACCAATATAGGCTTTGGTGAATAGTCATGCTATGTTGCGAGTTGATAGAAGTAAAAAGCCGTGAACCAGGGGACTCCAACCTCAGTTGCTTAATGGTTAATGCATCCTCCGCGAGACCTGAAAGTCCTGAGTTTGACTCCTGGTGAGGTTGTCGGTGCGTACTGCCGAGGACTCTCGCACTAGGACGAAGCTTCTGTCCAGTGCTTCCAGGTTCCCAATGATTCTCCAACTGATGATAGTCCATGATGAATATCACGTCCAAATTATTAAAATCCCCTCCAACTACAGACTACATATCAGAACAAAATTGTAGTAAACTTTGGAACAAATATTTTGTGTGGCTAATTTGTTATCTGGTTTCATCCTTTTCGAACTCAGAAAAGAAAGTCATTCTTGTCACTCTGGAGTTGATCAGACTACTAGCTGTTTACACACTTCGTCTAGATAGATTAATGCTAGACGTTTATATTACATGACTCAGCTACTTGGAAATTTCAAGTGCCACGTCGTTTGTCTTGTACACCTCTATATACCTAACCCGTTTATCGTAAGTGGCAAAACCACTGGTGTTATCAACGTCATTGTAGTACACCCTGTCATCTAGGTACTGAAAAGAAGTACTGTTTTTGACTAGACTGTATAAAACAACTTCATAAGAATTTTTTTATGAATCTCTATCTTCGAAGATTAGAAAAAGAACTTGGTCATGGCTGCCTTGAATTAGGTTTGCAGCCAGTTTGTGTCGGATGAATTCAGTTTAGTAATTCGTCATTTTCATTCGTTAACAATTTAATTTTACCAGGCTATTTTCGGTAAATGCCATTAATCATTAGAAAGGTCAACATTGTGACGTTGGTCTTTCCTGTATACGCCTCAGTATGAATATGTTTTGATCTTAGTCGATTTCTATATATAGTATAATACTCTATACCCTATCCAAAACCTTTCGAAGATAACATAGAAGCGATGATATTTGGGCTACTAACTGACTATCATAACACTATAACATATCGAGGAAAGCAGTCACTAGTTGAGGCCTACTAGTTCATAATTACTTGTTTCCATACATACAAGATTAATATTAACCAAATAGCTTCTGCAACAGCATATCTTTTCATTTGTTTTTCTTTGCACCTAATTATCATATTAAGCTAATCAATCTGGTCTTGGTACTTCGAATCCGTCGAAAAGTACGCGCAACACATGTAATTATGAAATCAAATCGGATACACTATCTCAAGAGAATCCAGTACTATTGCGTGATTTACCACCAGTTATAGAAAATAATGGATTACAATCTAATAATCAGTTAACTGATTTTATCCGTCCAGTTGGAATTCCTTCATCATGGCAAAAAGAAAATCAAATAGAACCTGGGCCATGGAATAAAGCCTATGTAAGCCTTTTCTTTCACCTAAACTTGGTTTGTTCATATGTAGAGACAGACAGGAAGACAAATAAAATGTATAACCTCGCACAAAGATGCATCGACTCAAGTTACCACATTTCACAGTAAAATATAAAGAACAAGTAGATTAAAAAGGAGCATTATCAAAAGAGAAAGAGAACAAACGATCTGAAGATAACTGTTAGTGCAAATATTCAAGCTTTAAAATACATCAGGGAGTGAATGCATCTACACCATTGCGACCCTATTTTCAGCCATATCACCAAGACTCCTCAAGCACTGGTTCCTATCGTTTCCAGAAACCTAGCCGAGCAGTCTACGTCTCCTCATACGACTCAGCCTAAGAGTTAGTGACTTCATGGATTAGTGTGACGTATTCGTCTGGTCACCCTGAACCCTCTTCCAACCTAATTCAACTAATGCTAGCACTAAACGTCTAGGTAGGTGGTGGGTCAGGGTGCTCAGTACATGTCTGAGCCATCTCAATCGATTTAGGTTCACAACCTCATCAGTTGACTTGCTTATCTTCCCTAATATCCATTGCCTGTTCTCAACAATGCTCATAGTGTGATTCCATCAAATGCGAGCGGTGTCACGAGGATGTTAGGGCTGCAATCATCACTCTTCAAAAAATATTTGAATAAGTAGGGTAAATAAGATAAGTGCGACTAGGCGATCTCCATATACACACACATAAATACCGATATCTTCTACAATCTATATGTAATCTATTCATCTTCACTTCTCATTATTTTATGTCTTTCCTGTGTTAATAATACTACTAATAATAACTTTGAAACATCAATTTCCAATTAGGTATTGTATCTTCCGTATACAGAGTAAAGAAAGTAATAAAGGGTGTACAGAGTGTTGTCTTTTCATGGACCTTTTTCATATGCTGATTCAAGAACGCAGTTGTTCTTTCTATTTTAGGTATGCTGTGACTTTTTTGTTTGAAAAGATGATTCTAGCACGTTTCTCATTGATCTTCGCTTTGCTTCGCTTCATGCGAGTATATGGTCACTGTCTTACTTTCATCGACGCCATGCTGTTCCCCTCCTTCACTTCTGTGTCGAATTTGGAACACACTACTAGCGTGGTTTAGATAATAGCCCAGCAATTAGTTATTTTTGAAGATTTATGATATACTACTAGTTAGTAGCATATTTTGTGTATTGAAAAAACCTTCAAAACAGTAGGATGCACAAGAATAAAGAATCAACAAATTTCTATTTAATAGCTGTGCATTGCTTCTTTTATGATTTTAAATTTCTTCTTTTGTTTGTCCCTTCAGTTCCTAGTGAAACATAAGGCTTCAGAAGCACGTCTCCATTGCACTGTGTTCTTTACAGTCTTTTCAACCTGGCTCCACTACTGCCCACTAGTTTTCATTTATTCCTCACATCATCTCCATGTCATCCTCGCCTCGGACGCCCAACTCATCCTTTCCCATTTTGATTCCCCTCGACGTCCTGGCCTGTCGCGTGATGTCCCCAGTTGGTCTTCTCAGTATATGCCTAATCCATCTCCACTTTCTTCTGCATATCTGTTGGATGATAGGCTCTTGGTTGCTACTCTACCAGTCAGAGAGTTCCTTGTTGCTTATTCTTATTATTCTGACCATCTGATCTTCAGTATGGAGTGAGCGTAGGTGGCAGCTATTGACGAATGTTTGTAGTTTATTGGAAATGCTTTTCGCGACGTACCAACTTTCTGAACCATATGACAGCACTGACTTTGTATTGAAAATCCGGATGTTGTTCAGGCTTTGTGCTGAGTGGAGTAGATCTCCACACTGATTTCAGATTAGTGAAAGCATGTCTTGCTGTGCTTCCGATCCTGGTTTTGAAATCCTCATCTGTGCTGCCACCTGTAGTTGAAACGATGCTGCCTAGGCAGGTGTAGGTGAAAGAGACTACTTCCTTTGAGTTTCTCCCGTTTATGGTGATTGATGCCTCTTCGTGTTGATGCTCTTGTTGGTTGGATATCTTCATCACTTCCGTCTTCTCTACATTCACCTGAAGTCAGTCCCGTCTTCGCTGTTTCTTCTGTCAACTTGTTGGTTTTCGATCTTCGAGTTTGTGCGGCAAGACATTACACATAAACCATCATCGGCGAAATCCAAATCTTCTAGGCCCTTTTCATTGGTCCAGTCAGCGTGTGCCCATCTTCTTGCTCCTCACGGTTTGGTGCATGATCCAGTCGACCACAATCAGGACGATTGTCGGTGATAGTAGGTGGTAACCTTATCTTGCTCCTGTCTTCACTTCAGAGGCGTCACTGAGCTTTCCATTGTGAATCACTCGACATGTAGCATCATATAGGTGTTGAATGAGGTTGATGAAGGTTGGTGGCACTAAAACCATAGCGTTGAAGCATCTGCCTGCTAAATTACTTCTCGATCGACACTATCGAAGGCCTTTTGGAAATCGATGAAGCTGTTCTATGATGATGCGTAGCGTTGCGTTGCAATTTGGTCCGCACATGATTTGTTTTTCCTGAAGCCAGTCAGCCTGTTCCGGTTGCAATTTTGATTGCAGCACATCTTTTAGTCTCTTCAGGATGGTGCGGCTTAATATTTTTCATGGGGTGGACAGGAGCATGATTCCTCGCCAGTTCTTGCAAAGGCTTAGGTCTCCCTTGTTCGGGAGTTTGACAAGGTAGCCCTTCTTCCAATCGATAGGCAGGTACCTTTCCTTCCTACCTTGCAAACCTTCTGCAATAGTGGTGTGAGCATGTCAGCTGTTGTCTCTGTGTCTGTTTTTAGTGCTTTTGGTGGAATTCCATCTGTTCCTGCTGCTTTTCCGGATTTCAGTAACTTTACGGCCTTCAGGACTTCACTTCTACTTTTGTCGGAGGGCCTGTATTCACTTTTAATTCTGTGGCTGCTGGTAATATTTGTGGACGAGTTGCAGGTGGCGATGGTGGTCGGTTCAAAAGTGGTCAACCCATTGTTTCCTATTTTTTGTCCTCTTTGGTAACTAGGTTTCCTTAAATACCTTTCATTGGTTTCATCTGTGTTGGTCTCTTCCCTGTCAGATAGGAACCTGATTATTTGATATGGTGTTGTCAACTTGGGTGGGGTCTTGTCCAGTACTGGTTGCAGTTGTCTGTCGAATTCTTCCTTCTTCCCTTCATATGCATTATTTGTAGATTCATGGGATGATTGTGACCTTCCTTCCTTCCTTTCGAGTTGAATCCATCTGGCTGTCATGATCCTGATCATGGAGGAGATTGGTTCCCACTGCATGGGAGAGAGCCCACGGTGCTATTGAGGACATCATGATAGTTACTCCAAAACTCAGTGTGCTCGTGATTGTTGTCTGAGTGACAATATCGGAGTAGATTATTGACTCCTCTCCAGTTGACAGTTTGGAGAGTCCACTTCCACTCCATCTGCAGATTCCTAGCTTGGCACTTCTATGCTATACCTTCTCATCTGTTTGAGAATCTGGGCAGCCTTGCCAGCCAGCTTCAAACATGGTACGGTCATTCCATGTCCCCATGTTTGGTTTTGTTTCCATCTAGAGAAGAGAAGATACATTGATCGATTGGCTTCTTGAAGGTTTTCACCATCCGGAGTCATTTCGCCTCTCTGATTGTAGAAAGGAATAAGTTTAATTTTATTTTTTCTATTTTCTTTGTGCTTTGAAGTTTCTGTGGCGGTTGGATTTGTTTTGAGGGGTGGGGTTGGTATCTCTGTGCGGAACGTTTTCTGTTTATCCGGGCTTAGGCGCGGCTAGTAACTAGTGACTTGATGCAGGTTTAAACCACTTTCCTCACAGTTGCAAATATCTCTTATTGATGAGTGCCTAAAGGCATGAAACCTTGGTCGAGCAGGTTTCGCTGGATATTGACTTGCACTTTCAAGTATCATTGTAACACTTTCAACGAAAGTGGATCACCACCAAGTTACCATTGTTCAATTTTTCAACCATGTTACAAAAGTGACGTAATCAGTATTCTCTAACCTTCTGATAACCTTAGTAAGACAGGCCTAAGGCTCTTTGATTTTCTGTTCAGTTTACTGAATACTTTAGCAAAACCATTTTCATCTGATAAAATCAGCTTCGTGTTAATAAAAATTAAGTCTAGCAAGGTTATCGCCAAACTATTCGAACTTTTTCTTACCCTTTGTCTTACCTGAACCAAATGTACTTCACAATGACCAGTTGTTATACTTTTCTGTATGTTGTTGCTTGTAAAAATAACTAGTTGACGTGCATGACTCACTTTTAAGCATTGACTTATCTGTGTTTTAGTATCAAACTTGATTGATTATGACTTAGTCTCCTAGTTCACATAAGTTTGCTAACAATGGCAGGCTGCACTTTGTAGACGAAGTAAGTAGCTTTACTGAGGTTTCTAACGAAGAATAGAGTATTACCTTGTCTGTATTTTTGTTTTACAGATACCGTCAATTAGAAGCATACCATTATCTACTAGACCGACTAGTTTACCGGAGTGGCAGATCTTCACAGAAGGTGAGAACAGACAACAGGAACAAGAACCACTGCAACATCAAAATGAAGGTTCACAAGTATCTGGTAACTCACAGCCATCTGTTATGTAAGCAGTTTTAGTTACACTTCCGAAAATACTATCGGTAATATCATGAGCAGCAGTCGTGGTTGTTCATGTTCAATGTAAATGAGGTGTGGTTGCTTCTTCTGAGTGGGTTTGAAGAGAAGATTATGATTATTATCGTTTGATTTTAGGATCGATTTTATCATGGACTGACATCAGTTGGAAGAACACTGGAAATCGGAAAGCACTGGACAGCTGTTTTGTTCTAGTAAGGGACTCAGCAGTGAGCACCCATGACCCCAGGTCTAAATAAAACCATTGGATTCCGACCCAATGGGTCAATGGTAACGCAGTGCCCACGAGACCGAAAGGTCCCGAGTTCGATCCCTGGTGAGGTCATGGGTGCTCACTGTTGGGGAGTCCCTTACTAGGACGAAAATGCTGTCCAGTGCTTCCAGGTTTCCAATGTTCCTCCAATTTATGTTAGTGTATGATGAATTCTATCCTAAAACTAATTCACAAATCTCCAGACAGTATTATTATTGTTATTATTTGACGGTCAAGCATATTCTAAATTAGTTGGATAATGGCTATTGGATCGATTGAAGGCGAAATGAAAATTTGGGCTGCGATAGGATTCGAAGCAGCGATCACCGGGTTTCTGGCTCAATGCTCTATCAACTGAGCCGCGAGATCCGCCCGCTGACCAGACTTTTACTTCACTTCAATCACTAAGGGTTTTGTTTGACTACCATGTGAATTCATGACGCTTTACTACGGCTTCATAGCACCCACACTGGCTGCCTAGTCAGGACTTCTCATCCCGATCCAACTCCATTTGAATTTGAGAGAGGGAGCCTCATATTCTCGAATATTTACTGTCGAGAAACTGACATTTATGTCTGATTTTATCAGTAGATCAGTATTTCTTATTTGAAAATTTCTGTATTTCATCATTATCGTCATCAACATCCTCTTCACTTGGTGATGATTCCTTGTGACGTGTGTGGTAAAAGATAAACGATTGGAGAGGTTTTGTAATATATTATTGCCCCTTTTCTTTGTTTATAACACGGAATAGATACATTAATTTCTTTTCTCCAAAAAAGGGGAGCAACAGATAACCATTCAACTGGTGTGTATAGACGAAATAAACAATAAAGGTTATCGGATATTGTTATTTGTTTTCTTACAATTATTGGTAGCTTCTTTCACCTATCCAGGCAGCATCGTTTCAACTACAGGTGGCACAGACGAGGATGTCACAGCAGTCAGGATCGGAAAAGCAAGACAGGCGTTCATTAACCTGAAACCAGTGTGGAGATTTTCTGCTTTCAGCATAAAGCGTGAACAACATCCAGATTTTTAACACAAACGTCAATTCAGTGCTTCTGTATGGTTGAGAGACTTGGCGCGTTACGAAAGGGATTTCCAACAAACTACAGACATTCATCAACAGCTGCCGCCTACGCTGGCTCGTTACTGAAGCTCAGATGGATTGCCAGAAATAACAAGCAACAAGGGACTCTGGGAACTAACCAACCAAGAAGCTATCACTCAACAAATATGCAGCAGAAAAAGTGGAAATGAATTGGGCATGCACGTGCACGTCTGCAACTACTCCTAGTTTACGAATAGGGAGTAAAGTAGTGGAATGCGCCGACCATTTCAGTTACTTGGGGAGTTGTATCACCTAAATGGTTTGGTTATTGACGAAATCTCATCTCGTTTGCTAAAGGCCCATATCATACTTACCAATCTGCGTCATCTCTGGTACGAGTGAGATATGCAACTACATATTGAAAAACGAGTACTCTTTGCTTTTGTTTGTTCTATCTTCTCATGCAGCTATGAGACATGGTTGTTAAAAGTAGGAGAACTGAAGGGAGTACATCTGCTGGAACATTGGTGATGTCTTCGTAGAGTTGCTCACGTACGATGAAATCCCCTTATGAACAATGTCGAGATTAAGGTGAAGGGTACTAGACAAAGAAGCCGGGTTGATCGACAAGGTTGTGAACCTTAATTGGCCTAGTTGGCTCGGACATGTGGCTCATATAGCAGTGTGCAGTTTTAGCTGAAGTGGGATTAAATTGAAAGAATACTGAATGTGTTGGAATAAAGACATGGGACAACTCCATAAAGTTCTTAACCTAATGGTTGAAAAACTTTGTCAACATGGCTGAAAATCGGTCACAATGGCACGGATGTATTCACAGTTTAACGCCTTCTAAAGGTTTGACATTCTCGCTAACCTTGGTTTTTAAGTTCATTCTCTTCCCATTGTTCTTTGCAAGGCACCATAAAGTGTGGCAACTTGAACCGATACACTTGTCTACGGGGTTCTGAATGGATCCCTTTCTCCTTATCACATTGGTCTCCTGGACTATTACTCTATCTCACTCTGTACTTGTGTGTTATTTAAAGACAGCGATAGCTGAATTCTTCTCTAGAATGCTCATTTCAGTAAGGCCTGTTATTTTGGACAAAGCTCAGTAACTGAGCCCGATATACTCTCTTGAGCAGAACCGTGGATCTCTCTTCCTTTGTAGGTTCTTAAGGTACTACTTAGTTGATCAGGTCGAAGTAGATTTAGCGGGATCCGAACCCGGGACCCATCATTTGAAAATTTGACTTTTGAGCCAGTGAGCTGTAACTCCACTACATTAAATTAGTTACATCTGCTGAGTACACAGAGTATTCTTTAACGGCCAGAAGATCCCCCCATAATGAGCTACAGAAATCCACTCGGAACTTAGTTTTTTTTTTGGTTAATAGTGGCCCAGCCTTTGAACTGCTCATACTTTGAAGCATTGTCCAGTTTGGTTATCGAGGTAAGAGAGGCGAAGTATCAACACCTCTGTTCTTTAACACCTCTTAATCTCTGGACATTTGGTCCCTCTTGGTTGTTCCTTCAAATTAATTTACCGTATACCACCCTTACAATTCCAGAAGACTTCCACACGTCATCTGTGCATAGCTGAATAGTTAGCAATTCAAAACCGTTATCCCGATCTTTTGTTCACAAACATTACCCACGCTCATTAGTCTAACTGTGGAAACAACATTTTTTTTCTCCTCTTAAACATCATGATAATCTAGTGACCCTATTGATTGAAAATATGCTTTGCATAACGTAACCAGAAGACACAGTTTATCTGAAAAATGTAATGGATTTGCGCTATAAATCTTGAACACATCTGACCACATATTTCCTTAAAATGGCACTTTACATAGAAAGTGAAGACAAAGGTAGGACAAATATGACTACAAGAAAGATAATGAAGGCAGAATAATAACTTTTGAAAGCAACATTGGTAATAGGATAAAATAAATATTGTCATAATAAGGAAAATATGTTTTTATTCAATGAACATATAAAAACATTTTTTTCAATGTAGCCTGTAGTTCATCATTATCATGATCAACACAGAACCAGGCATTACCGCATAACATTCCAAGTTGCCGCATCTCATTTCAGCATCCATCATCCATCCAGATCAACCTAGGACCAGGCATTACTGCGTAACGGTCCGAGTTGCCACACCTCATATCACTACATCAAGTAAAAAGGCAGTGAAGTCGAAGATGAAGATATGAGAATACTGTCAAAAGAAATATATAGTACGAAAAGAGACAAACGAAGAATGAGAAAGTGGTGAGATTCGGTATAGCGTTAAGATGACGATAATGTATGTATACATCTGCGCCACTGACATCGGTTCTAAGTCATATCACCTGGAGTCTCCAACCAATGGCTCCTCTTGTCTCACGGTTCCAAACCACTTAGTCTGCATCACCCCACATGGCTCAAACAAACAGTCGGGGACTTCATACATTGGTGCCATGTTTTGGTCTGGCCACTTCGAGTCTTTTTCCAGCCCGGACCTACTTCGGCCAACATTGTGTGGCGAGGCAATCGACGACTAGGCATACGTAGTACGTGTCCCAACCATCTCAGTCGATGAAGGTTCATAACCTCGTCAACTGACTTACCTCTTCTCCCTAAAGCTCTACTCCTGACTTCTACGTTACTCTCTTGGTGACACCACGAAACATGGCCTATGCTACGAAGGCAATATTGGTCAAACACCTGAAGCCTTCTCATGTCTTCTACCATTGGTGAGCTTTGTTTCACAGTCATACAGAAGAACTGAGCGGACTATGGCACAGTACACTTGACCCCTAATTAACAATCGGATAACGCGTCAGCGCCACAGGTCGGGTAAGTTGGAAAGAGCCAACTGAGCCATTTGTATCTGTTCAGAGATTTCGTTGACCACTGACCAATGCACCAGAGTTGATCCTACTTCCCACTTAAGGTAAGTGTTCAACCACTTTACTCTCTTTTCTTAGCCGGGGCACCGTCGAGGACCAATTCTGAAGCAACGATTTGCATTTGGGTGATGAGAAACGAATCCCAAACATTCTCAAATTACCACTTAAAGTGTAGCTATCATAAACAATGTATTTCGTAATTATCTCAATCTGTAGAAGCCTATAAACCCTTTAGTAAACTTAATGCTACCACTAATAATACGATTGGAAAGCCATTTCGAGGTTCAGTTTCTCAAGCATGAAGCCATTTAGTCAATATCAACATGGAACCTACCATTACTGCGCAACTCTCCGAGTTGCCACACTGCAAGTCAGCACACTAAGATAGGAAGCAGTAAGATGAAAGAAAAATAAGTTTAAAGGTATCTCAGAGTACGGGAAAGTGGTGTATGGAGTAGCAAGGAGAAGCGAGACAATAGTAAAATCCAGTATGAGTTAGCTGAAGATAATGCGTAGATGGATCTGCGCCAGTAACATCGGTCATGATCTATATCCCTTATAATCTATCACATGAACTTCAACCGAGTAGTCTGTATTCCCCTACATTCCTGAAGCCAACGGTCAGCTATTTCGTGAACTGTTACCATGTTTTTAGTCTGTCTGCCTTTAACTTATTTTTAATTGAACATTGCGCGACATAGCCTGTGGCTAAGCATGTGTAGTGTATGTCCTAGCCATCTGAGTCGATGGAGGTTCACAACCCG